CTTTGTATTATTGCTGTTTGTTTCTTCGTTACTTTTAAGAAGTTTTTCATTTCATTCTCCCATATTACAAATCTGCCCTCCAGTTCAGATAGTCTGTCCTTAGTTTCTTTCAAGCTGTTATGCCAGTTTTCGATAGAGTTTTTAGTTTCCTGGTAGTCTCTTTGAACCTGCTTCACATATTCTATGCTTTCTCTATTTTCTCCATCAAACAATTCTCCCCTCTTTTTCTGATCTTCCATTCCACCATCTGTTTTTTCTTGGGTGGTGCTTAGCATTTCTCTAACTATTCTGTTTATTCCTAGCTTCAGGTCATTAATAACTTCATTCCTGAACTGATCTATGAGGCTCTCTAGATGGCGCTTTATGTCTATTGGTGCAGTGTCCGCTATTGCCTGTTTCTCAGGATTGGGGGCTAAAGGGCCTTTCTTGTTGCTCCCTCTTCCCATATTCTTTGTTCCTTATATATGCAAGTGTATATAGGAGGCCCAGCTTCCTCTCCTGTCAGCCACAGTCTGATTGAATTGCGGCGGCTAGGTGTTCCCACCCACCGCAGCACACCAGGAAGTTGCAGATCAGGCAGCCTATGCGGGGCCTGCCCCTCCAGGTCACCCTCAGGCTCTGGGATCTGGGTTGTGCTAGCCCACTGGGTCTCAGCCAGCAGCGTCACGTAGGCTAGGCTCTTCTCACCAATCCCGCTTGAGAGGGGGATACGTGGCTGAAGTCGCCACAGCGCCCTGCTCCCGCAAGTCTGCCCTGTCCCAGAATGTCCTCTGTTGGAGTCTCCCAAACCGTGGGAAGAGTGTCAGTTTCTCTCACTCACCTCACCGCAAGTCAATGCACAACTCCCCGCCCGTCCTGTTTTCAACTCCGTTCCCCGATTCCCGTTCTCAGAGCTTCCGCACGTCTCTCTCCTTGCCGAGCTGCTGTAGAGGCAGCCAGCCGCTATGCGGCGGGAAACCCAAATCGCGGCTTCCAATGCCGCGGGCTCCAGCTTCCACACTGAGGCTTTTCTGTTCCTGTTATAGCACCAGGATTGCACTCCAAGTTGGTTTCTCTCAGCCCAGTTCATTCTTGGGTCAGCAGGGCATATCTCCACCTGCTCACGACTTCTTATTCCACACCATTCCTGGATTCCAAGCTGGTTCTTTCAGAGAACCTCCACAGCTGTTGCTATCTGTCCACCATGTTCTCCCGGAAGTCGAGAGAAATTTTTTTAAAAAATTCTGACAGTTTTAATATCTCAGTTCCAGAATCAGGAGACTATATCATTATTTTTAAAAAATTGTGCTCCACACAAGTAGTCTAAAATTTATAGATGTATCTACAGCCAGAAGAATTCAAGGATTCCTTTCAGACTAGGTACCACACACTCTCAACTCTCAACTGGTAAATCCAAATGACGGTGGATATATGTTAGTCTTTAAAATATTCTGGACATAAAAACAAATCAATATTAGGTGATAATTAATTTAACCAAGTGTTGTGATCTTGGCAAGTAGAAGTGGTTTTAAAACTCCCCACCAGAGCTGAGCTTGGTGTTCCACACCTGTGATCACACCATCTCCATGGGCTGAAGCAAGATCACACATTAAACCTTCACATAGTACCACACAGTGAGACCTACTCTCAAAATGTACTCCTATTACTGATAATAATGATTTTAAAAACTACGTGAACTTCAGAGAAAACATCTTGGATTCTAGTCAAACTAGTGATCCTGCTTTAGAAAATGTTATTCCCCTCATTTTTTAACCTACAACAAGGCCATACACAATTTTGTAAGTCCTACTTTTACTTCTAGAGTGTTTAGATTATTTAGTAACACAAGGCTTATTAATATAACATTTCTAAAAATCTTTCTTTCCTTTAGGTCTCTGATATTTGACTCATATACAACCAAACCAGCATAACACAACTTGTTACCCTCAAACTAAAATATTTTGTCCTCAATTGTGAATCTTTTCCAGCTTAAGAGCTGACTTTCCCACACTCTATTTGCTCCACCTTTCTCACATTCTATCCCTTCTGTACTCCTCCCTGCCCCAAAAGCCCATTTATATCTAACAATTGATATGCTGGTACAGCTGCCATTTGATGCCTAAATCTTACAACAGTATTTTTTTTATGAAATGAGCTACCTCAATAAGCATTTCGTTACACTGAAATACCTCCAAACTACCCAGTGCTGTACGGATGTGTGAGAGGTGCACCTGTCTCTCTACACTCGTACCAAAATGGCATTTACTTGTGGATGTTGCACTTCAAGTAGAGCATCGGTTAATGGTCAACATGCAATCCCTTTTGAAAAGCCATCACTTGAAATTACTTCATTTTCTTCCTCCCTCAAATCAGTAATATCACCTCCAAATATTTTGGAATTCTAAGCAATATGTTACTTTCTTTCATCTTCTTTCTTAAAATGTTGTGGATTTAATAATGAAATTTAGCACACTTGCTAAGTACTTAACCACTGAGACTCATTGCCAGCATTGTGAAATCGTTTGTCACATATTCTTAGATATTACTAATACAACACAATGAACTTTCACAATGTGAGAATGTAGTAAGAAGTACAGGTGTTTATCATCATCACAATGAAGACCACAACTGAGGATATAACTTAAGGATGTGAAACTCTATATTTCAAATATGGATTAAATTTAGCACTGATATGTGTCTTACACAATTCCTGTTACAAAATACTTCATACCACAACATAATACAGAGGATTTGATGACTCACAGTTTCAGTTCACATATGAATTCCTGCTAATAAAGCAGGAAGATGGCAGAAAATCATGATGGAAGAAAAGCTACCAGGAAACAGTGAGAGAGGTGAAAAGGCTACACTTTTTTCCAGATACATTAGAGTGACTTGTCTCATACAGGTTCAAGATGCTAACATTACACCTAATTACTGAGACAGGAATGGGTAAACGCACTGATAAGCATGTATACCCCCAAATTCTAACAACTTACACACACATGAGACACCTCAAGTATCCTTTAGATATAAATCATGACCACAAGTCTCCTTTTGGGAAGAAAATGACCAGACACCTGAAAAATACAGTGCCATATATGAGTCAAGAGTCTCTCTGCAACCCTCCTAACATCACTGAACAATCTGAAGAGAAAGCTGAGCTACCTAAGACAGGACCCTGGCCAAGATAAAGTCACATCACTGCCATAGAAGAGGATGCTTCAGTCCTGGTTGCTGATACACACCACAAATGACTAGGTTGTAGGCTCAGAAGTTCACATGTAAGAGTGGAACAAAGACACCTTATGTGATTAACAAGACTCAATTCCTGTCAGCGCTGGTTCTGTTTAGACATTAAAGTAAACACCTATGCAAAAACTAAAAACAACATAAAATCACAATCAATGGGACAAGTAAATGAAGTGGTTGAAAAATGACACCCGTAAAATCATCTGGAAAATAAGCTGAGGCAAAGAAATGACAACATTTCAACATAATACCACCAATATAGAAACTTAGAACGACAAGTCTCACAGAACTGTGCATCACTGGGAAGAACAAGATATAAAAGCTGTGGGGGCCAGACAGTAGAGCAAGGAGGGTCGCAGACTCTAAGACTAACAGCAAAGAAAGGGGAACTGAGGATGAGGATGAGGATGAGGATGAGGATGAGGATGAGGAGAAAAACAAGAGAAGAAGAGAACAGAAGCAAGCATATGCAAAATCAACATGAACATGGAGAGGAAAAGAAACAACAACAGCAACATTGTCATAGCACAAGCAAACATTGCTGTAGAAACAAAAAGGAAAGACAGTGGAGGATAACAGGAAGGAAAAGGCAAGAGAAGCAAAGTTTCAAGAAGAGAGAACATAAGGCAAAACATAAAAAAGTGAAAAAGGAGAAAAAGTGAAGAGAAAGAAAAAGCAAGAAACATGAGATGAGAAGACAAAGAACGGAATTAGCAGAGCCAAAGAACTAAGCACATAAGGTAGAAAAGAAAAAACCAAAAAAGAAGAAAAAGAAAATTGCAAAATCATAGGAAAAGAGAAAAAATGAAACCCTGAGCAAGAAAGACAAAGAGAAAGGGAAAGAAAAAGAAAAACACAAAGAAAATGACAAGATGGAAGAGGAGGAGGAGGAGGACAGCCACCTCCTCAATCACCCCAAGGTCTGTGCTATGAAACTCAGCATGGGGTACACAAACAACAAAAAAAATTTTAAAAACACAACACAGCAAGGATAAAAACATCAGGAGCGGAGAGAAATCTGGGTGTGGAGAGGTGATTTTCCCATGGGCCCACGTAGGGGGACAGTCTCCCCAGTTTGTGCATCATTGGGAAGAAGGGAAATGTTTTGCAGAGTGAGAAAATAAAGCAAGGAGGGCCATGGCCCGTAAGCCACAGAAAAGAAGGGGGAGACAAGGAGAGGATTAGCAGGAGAAGTCACTGAAAAGAAGAAGAGGAGGACAAGGCAAGAAGGAGAATGTGAACAAGGACAAGAAAAGGAAGAAAAACAAGAGTAACAGCAGCATCGTCACAAGAATAGGGAAAACTGTTGTGTAAAGCAAAAGGAAAGAGAATTGGGGAAACCAGGGAGGAAGGGTGAGGAAGGAAAGGGTGAGAAGAGGAAAAAGCAAGAGAAAAAGAACAAAAGGGAAGAATTAAGGGGAAAATGTGAAAAAGGACAAAAAGTGAAAAGACAGAAAAGAGACAAAGAAAAAACAAGAGAAATTTAATGAGAAGACAGAAAGGAATTCACAGGCAAAAGAACAAAGTACACAGGGAGAAAATAAAAAACTGAAAAAGAGGAAAATGAAAACCAAAAAGAACAGAAAACAAACAAAAAATGAAAAACTGAGAAAGAACGACAAAGAGTCAAAGAAAGAGAAAGAGAAACACAAAGAACAGGACAAGATGTAAGAGGAGGACGAGGACAACCACCCCCTCAACCACCACAAGCACAGTCAATAGGAAACTCAGCCACAGGGAAAAATAAACCACCAAAGAAGAGTAACAACATACTTAGCAGGCAGGGGAGATACCATGAGCACGGAGGTGGTTTTCCCAGGGCGAGGCCGATCCACTGCACTCCGGATGTGCTGACCCCTGCGATTTCCCCAAATGTGGGAAACATGACTGTATAATTTGTGGTACTGGGGACTGCGTTGGCACTTCTCCTGGCAAAAAAAGTAGAGTAATAACGACACAACAGAGAAAGGATAAAAACACCAACAGTGAAGAGAAGTCCTAGTGCAGAGAGCTGTTCAGAACTACTAGTTCTTGGGCTTTTGCACTTACACTGGGACTTACACACTCAGATCATCAGTTCTCAGCTCTTTGTTCTAGGACTGAATTACATTCTGGATTTTCTGGTCCTCTAGGGTACAGATGGCAGATTATGACTGTTCAACTTCCATAACCATAAAAGCTAAATCCTGTGTGTGTGTGTGTGTGTGTGTGTGTGTGTGTGTGTGTAATTTGCCTGGACTCAGTTGTTTTAGTTTCCCATTGACCTGAATAACATGGTATAGTAATATTAAGAGGCACCCTAAGGAATATATCACCTATTGACTCTGCCTGTTTCAAGAACCCTGGTATATACAGATTTTGGCACCAAGAATGGGTCTAGAACAGAATTTTAAAGATAAAATTTATCAATTAGTTCTGGACTTCCTGAAATTGACTCTCTAATATAATTACATTTGAAGGTGCTGATAATTTTATTTTCAATAGTAAAGAGAGCACAAATAATATATGGCAAGAACTATTCCGATTTTTCTGTTTGTTTTGTTTTGCGAGACACGGTCTCACTATGTAGTTCAGGTTTGCTTTGAACTCACTGTGTATCCCAGGCTGGCCTTGAACTTGCAGCAGTCCTCTGAGTTCAGCCTCTGCAGTGCTATATGATTAATAGGTGTGCACCATCACACCATACCTATTTAAAAAGGTATGAAAATATGTGCCTTAGTTATTTCTCATTAGCCACTTAGAGGTTAAGTGACACTATATATGATACCTTTGACTATTTTTGGAAATTTAAATAATATAATAATATTACTTGACATTGGCTGAGTCTTCCAGTTGTTCCCGGACAAAGTGGTGAAAGAAAAACCTGAGCACAGGGATCCTGTGGGGTGCATAAATGACCCAAGGGCTTCTGGGCGTGCCCTCCACAATGGAGGCAAGGAAGAGAGGTCCAGAGTGCAGGGGACTGCTTAGGTTGTCTCTTAGTATTACTACACTTGTTAATAAAGGCAATGAGAAATTAAAATAACCCAGTCCAGGCAGCAAGGTAAATGATCCAAACCCTTCAGAAAGACAATGTGGATCACTCCATCTCACAAGTAAAGGACCAAGACCTGCTGAGGTGCTTGCTAAAAGCCAGTGGAATACAGGACAGGCAGTAGAAGAAAGTAGTTATAAAAACCAACGATGGCCATGTGACCAGTTACAGAAATGAAATTTTTAATTGTCATGTGCATTTCCTTATTTTGTTAAGAATATATTGATGCTAGCCAGGGGTGATGGCAGAGGCCTAGTACTCTGGGAGGTTGAAACAGCAGGATTGAAAGTTTGAGCCCGGTCTGGTCAACTTTGCAAGACCCTGTTTCAAAATAAAATGTACAGAGAAGGGCTGGGATGTAGTTCATTGGAAAGGGCCTGGGTTCAATCTCTAGTATGACAAAGCAAACAAACAAACAGACAAAAATACACATACATGTAATAAGCAGATATCTTTAGGGGGGTTTTATTCCTATTCTGTTGGGCGCAGGCGCTCAACATACCATACCCCACCCGGGACTAAGGACCACGCCAGCTTCCGCAATGCGCTACGTCCCTCTTTAAATTAGCCAACCCGTGCGCACCCCGCGCTCACTCTGTACTCTGTGGCAACTCCTGATTGGCCACAGCTGGATATAGTAGCCAGAGCCTACATCCCATTCCCGCCCTGCTTCCTTGTGGCAGCCTGTGATTGGTCACAGCCAAATATATAAACCAGAGCCCGCGTAAATAAACTAGCAGTTAACTGTCGTCCACAAAAGCGCTTCCTGTCTTCTGTTTCGTTGGAGCTGCGCCGGTCACTATTCCATGGAACAGAACTTTGATTGACTAAATTGGTACCTAACTATTATTAAATCTATATATGATACAAGTTATTGGATGTCAGAAGAAAAGTAACACCCAAAGAAAAACTTTGCCTCCTATTCTGAAAATTAGGGTGTTTTGGGTTATGCAGAACAGTAGTGTCATCCTAGGTGGAATTAGGAACTTGTTATTGTCCTCATTTAGAGATCAACTTACTTAAAACGTAACTGGGTAAAACGTAATTGGGTGTCAAGTCTCCAAGGTGAGAAATGCGAATCTTTTTTTTAATTAAAGAAAAAAAAACAGTAAAAGGCTACAAGTAATACAGAATTTCAAAAAAAAAACAGTAAGAAATCACTAGTTAATAGACCACGTACTGTCATCCCAGAAATAGTTGATCAAATTACAAAATTAAGCATACAAAGTGGACATTCAAACAGTAAGACTGCAAACAGCTGTGCTCAACGATCCAACAAAAACCCAGCAATATGGTCAGCCATCTTACACACCTAAACACTCCTGTAGCTGCGTCCCTTAGAGCACTTTCCCTTCCTCTCCTCCCCACAATAACATCTACACATTTTGGGTTTCACCACTCCCACAGTTCTTATTACTCTTTTTTTTTTTTGGAAGAGAATAAAAGCAAATGTGACAAAACAAAGCAGTCAGTCAAAACAAAGGATGGACGTAGTACATAATATAAAAACAGAATACAAGGTAATCAACAATGGCTACCATAATGCCTCTTGTTACCTCAAAAAGAATTGCCTATATCATTAGGTATAATAAAATTGAACAAAAATGTACAGAACAAAACCAATAAAACTTAAACATTGGAGACATTACTGAACTTCAAAAGAAGATAATGGTCAAACCAGAATGGGCATCATAGTGAATCCTATTGCCTTCAAAGTAGTTGCCTATACCCTCAAAATTGATAATATCAAACAGAACAGAATAGAGTAAAATCAGTCAAAACAAGATGGTGAGAGCAATACAGGGCTTCAAACCGAGTTAATAGGAAATCAAAAAAGTTACTATAATATATCCTGCTAATTTTTTAAAATTGTTTCCCTTAATTAAAAAAATAATAATAATAAAATAAATAAACTTTTAAAAAGCAGATTGAAATAAAAGAATATTTGAGTATAACTTCATATACTATAATGCGAATCTTGATTAGCAATTTGATTAGGTTAAGGGACTCCTGGAGAGACGCCTGGATTGTGAGGGCACTAATCTCATGATGGATTAACCCATTAATGAGGTCAGAGTTGAACAGGCTCTCAGAAGGAGGGACTGATTGCAGGAAATGGGTCATGGGTACTGACCTTGAGAGTACTACTGGTCTCTGGTGCCTTCCTCTCTTGACTTTGCCTCTACTCTCTGCTTCCTGAATGCCAGGAGTTCAGCAGCTTTCCTCTGCCACATCTTCCTATCACAGTGTCCCTGCCTTGGGGCCAGCCAACCATGGACTGAAACCTTCCAACTGTGCGCCAAAATAAACCTTTCCTCCTTTAAATTCCAAGTGCCAGGTATTTGCCCCAACAGCAGCAAAATGACCAATATGATGCCCCTTCCAAAAGAAAGATGATCAAAAATCAGCTTTAATCTATTCTGTATGGAGGGCTGAACAGGATGAAGAAGCTGAGGAGCACTGGGATGTCATTGCACACACACGCTTGCCAGCACTGTCTTTCTGTGGCTTCATGGACACTATCACTGCCATGGCTGGCCCAGGCTCGTCGATTCAGCAAATGTTCCCTTCTTTTGCATTCTCTCAAGTAGCCCGTATTTCCACTTGGAGGGAATTATCTACATGAGGCTTTGGGGTCTATAAGAAAACAGTCTCACCCCCTGGAGTGCCCCACACAGAGAAGCCGGGAGTCTGCTTTCCTCTCCTCATATGGATGAAGTCGGCAGCCCCCACCCCACAAACACACACAAAGGCCTGGTAAGACCTTAGAGGCAGCAGGGCTTTCCACGCACACTTGCACTAGGTTTCCCTGGAAAAGGATGAAATGGTCCCACATGATAACCTCTGTCTCAAACTTATAAGCCATAAATATACTGCACCCCATAACTGCATTCAATGTTGTACTTATGTATCAATTAAAATAAATTTAAGTTATAATACGGACTAACCAGACTAGAGAAAAGAAGGTGCTGAGCGGCTGCGCTGCACCCTGGGCCCTGGCCTTCTGTTGCAGGCAGGGTTGTTACGCTTTTCCCTCCCGCCAGCTGCTTCCCCACCAGCGGTCTCACGGGGAACACTGATCACGGGGTCTGAGTGGTAACATACCGATTGGTAAGACTTCTCCTTAGGTTACTATAGCCAGCTGAGGGATACCGCCAAATCCATTCACCTGTTCTGTTTCTGAGCTTGAGTGGTGACAACGGAGCTGCTGCCTAGGAACAGAGAACACGCCCACGCGTTGAGTGCCGCCTCTTCCGCCCCACGCTCTACGTGACCCCCAGATGACCCCAAGAGATGCTGCCCTGGACGGCGACTGGGGAGGGACAAACTTCCAACGAGGGCATCGCTTTGATAGGGCTTATTGTCCAAACACCAACTAGTAGGAATACCATTAATCTCTTAAGCACATGGTGAAAATAAGGTATTATTAGTACCGAACAATGACTACTATATGACTACTACTACTAATGACTACTGTATCATTTTCCATAAAAATTTTATACTGTCACACATATTAAAATCCAATAAGATACATGATAGAGTACCATCTACTGAATAGAGTCACTGTGAGGATGAGAAGCTATGTGTGACTTCTTCATTCTACACATTTCTACCAGTGTACATTCTTGACCAGTCATTACTCCCGCTTTACAGGTGAGGTAGTGCTCATTAAAAATGTTCAAGATCATATAGTTAATATATGATAGAGTCAGACTAGAACACAGACACCCTACTTTCTAGCGGATCTGTTAATCTCTGTGCTGTTCTGCCTCCAGTGGGACAGAGCTCCCGGCTGTCACCTCATTGTGCTGAAACACCATCGTGGGAAAGAAGGTGGGCTGCAGAGGCCAGTGGTCATCCCAAGGTCCTCCAGTTCTGCTCTGACATGACTGGAACCACAATGTAGGCAGAAGCTCTCCTTTCTAAAGCCTAAAACAAGTGTGTTCCAAGCTACAGTGAGGATTAAAGGAAGGAATATGTTTCCAGGCATGGCAGTGTACACCTATAGGAGGCTGAGGCAAAAGGGCTGCCACAAGTTCAAATCCAGCCCAGCCTTAACTACCTAGCAAGACCTGTCCCATCCCCCTCCCAAAAGAGACAATATGCTCCAAGGGCTGGTGGCAGAATCAAGAACAGCACGCCAATGTGCCAGGTCTCAGGAAGAAGCAGGGACAGCTGGGCCTTCGGGCTTCCTCCTTCTGCTCCAACGCCTCCTTTGTGCACACACTGGGAAGCATAACCAACCCTCATACAGGCACTGAAGAACAGCCCATCAGCACCTTACTAAGCACAGGAGGGAGAGAGCAATAATTACTACTACAGTTCCCACTTCATAGGTAGGAGCTAGAGACACCAAGCAGTCTTACAGCCACATCAGAAGTAAGTGGCAGGCCAGGATTCCCACTCAACTCCAAATTTCTTTTTTTTTTTTTTTTTTTATCGGTACCGGGGATCGAACTCACGACCACCTGCTTGCAAGGCAGGTACTTATGCTGCTGAGCTCAATCCCCAGCCCCTCAATTCCAAATTTCTGGTCATCAGGGTGTGTGGCACCTTGCTCAACTGTCTCTCTTCCCAAGACATCCTGGGTCAAAGAGGAACATTTAATTTTAAATGAATGTACAAATAAACATACATGTTTAATTTTTTTCAAAAATCAATTTAACAAACAAAAAGAGGGTAACTAAAGGTCCACTACTTGGTTGAAGCCTAATGTCCACTATGCAGGGGTCACAGGTCATTGACTCTACCAACCTACTGCACAATCTTAGGTTTTTATTAACAACTCTAAATGTTCTTCCAAGAGATCCCTACCGGGCACAGAGGGTGACCCCACTGGGATGGAAAAGGAACTATAATCATCGGGGAAAGAGGGTCAACTGGATGGATTAGAGGCCCAGAATCAGCGCTTCTTCCCCTGTGTGGCAGTGATAGTGTCCTCTGCCCTGTCTCTCCCTCCCACCTGTCCTGCTGCAGGCACCACTGGGTCACAAGTCAGCTCCACTCTGGGACCCCATGTTGTGCCACAAGCTGAACCTGCCAGCACCCCAGGTACTCTGCCCACCAGTGCCTGGAAGAGCTGGGCTGCCTTTGAGCTTCCTTTGTCCCCACTCTGATGCTTAGCTTGGCTTTCCCAATAGGGGTCTCCAGCCCAGCAGCCAGTGGCCTAGCTGCAGTCCCAAGCATGCCCAACTCTTCCTCTTTGCTACTGCTGTGACCCTTGACAAAGATCAGTCAACTGATGGGGTAGGATTGTAGAGGCCCTGGATCTGTCTTGGGTCAAGATCACGCACCTTTCAACCGTGGCTCTCAAACTGCCTTGCTTAAGGCCAGGCGTGGCAGTGTATGCTCACAATCCCAGAACTGTGGAGACCGAGGCAGGAGGATTGTGTGAGTTGGAGGCCAACCTAGGCTACACTGTGAATTCAAAGTCAGCCTGAACTTTATAGCAAAACTCTGTCTCAAAAAAGAAAAAGAGTATTGCAGGACTTGATTTTAAATGCACATTTATTTCTATTCCTTTCCTGAAGATTCAAACTGCCTGGCGTGGATTGTATCCATAAATCTGATTTTTAATAAGCCGACTAGATCATCCTGAGTCCCACTTTGAAGTAACCCACAATTTGGTACAGAAGCAACTCAGGCTGGGGGTAACCTGCACTGGTCAGCAGTGAGAAAGCATACTGCTCCTTCATCTGCATTTCACCTCATCCATAAAATCTGAGCACACACATCACTTTCCCAGAGAAATCCCAAAAAAAGCATGGTGGTGCATGCTTGTAATACCAGCACTGAGGAGGCTGAGGCAGAAACACTGAAGCAAACTCAAGGCCAGCCTGGACACATAAGCAAGTTCAAGGACTGCCTGCACTACACAGTGAGATACAATCTCAAAAAAAAGTGGATTCTGAGAACCCTAGCAGTGGTAGATCTTACAAGACTGAGTCAGAGATTTTACTTGAACTGAAAGAGAATGGGAACCCCCCTGCTAGAATAGTAAGAACTTAAAGTTGACTAGGATTTGAAAAACAGAGAAAAGCTTAGTTCTCAGATGGGTTTTCTTACCTGAAGTCACAGATCCTAAAATAATAGTATCATTCAAGATTTAATTATTTTTGTTATGCATAATCCACTCTAGACAGTTCCTTTGGAAAAGCAAATGATACTGGGAGGATTTGTCTGTTAAGTAATAAGCATTGGAGTGCATGCTTTAAAAATAGATTTCTGTCAGCTAACGGACTTGAGAAAGCCAGAGTCTTTGGGTGAGACCCCTGGGGAGATACAGGTGGTAAGGATGGCTTTGAGGGGATGATGAGTAGGATCCTAGGAGGTAAGATGAGGCCCATAGGAAGCAGTCAACATGCTGTATACAGTAGCTTCAAAGCACCAAAAGGAAAATTCCTTGGAAAGGAGGTGGGAAAAATTGGTTTTTCAACCACTATTCTAATTATGCTAGATAGAAATGCCACAACACAGATAAAATGGACACATTCCTTGAGTAAAAGATACTCAGAATAACCTTGTATCTATGAGAGGAATTGAATGTGTAGCTGGGAACTTCCCTGTAAAGAGACCTCAGAGACAAATCTTTAAGGTAGAAATAATACTAAGTCTACACAAACCGTTCAAAGAACTTAAAGTGGAGGAAACACCTCCCAGCTCACTGTATGGTATAGCATTATCCTGCAACCAAAGCCAGGCAAAGACATTATTTTTTAAAAGTTCGCTAGCCAATATTCCTCAAGAATATAGACACAACTACTCCTAAAGTTTTAGCAGTGTGAGTATATCTTTACAGAAAAGGGGCAATACACCTTGATCAAGTGAAACTTACTCCAAAAATGCAAAAATTGTTCAACATTTGAAAATAACATATGAAAAGTAACCATCATATGAAATAGCAATGATCATTTCATTACTACAAAAAACAGCATTTGGCAAAATTCAACACACTTTCAAAATAAAAAACACCCAAGCTAGGGACAGGGGAGAGTTTTCCCCATGTGATAAAGGGCACGTGCAAAAAATCCCAGAGCCTATGACACTGCTGAATGTGAAAGACCATGTGCTTCTGCCCTGGGATCAGGAAGGAGCCAGGGCAGCCACCGTCCTGCCTTGTTCTGCACTATTCTGCTTTGTGTGGGAAGAGGTTCAAACCAAGATAGAGACAAGAAAAAAGTGGGGAAAGGCATACACATTAAAAAAAAAAAAAAAAAGTCAACCAGTCTTTGTTCACAGGTGGAACACCAGAGGGCGTCTACCCACAAAATCCATGTTGTAATAAGTGCTCTTAGCAAAGCTGCAACATGCAAAATTACTATAAAACTGCTGGATGTATTTCTACATACCAGCAAAAAACAATTAGAAGTTGAATGTTTAAAAAATACCATTTTTGAAAGTATAAAAATGTAAAGGCCTAGGGATAATCTAACAAAAAATATGCAAGGTGTGTGTGATGAAACCTAGGTACGTGCATGTATTGTGGAGTTCCTTTTGCATTTGTGAAATTTGTCCATATTGATATTTTTAGCTCTACTTCTTTCCTGTTTATTGCTATATGATATTCCATTGTTCCAATGTACAATTTGTTTAACCTTTGTTATTAATGTAAAAATTATAGCCAAAATTTTACTACAGCAATACTGCTATGGTTTTTTGGTAAAGTGTGAACTCTGATTTCAATTTATTTATTTATTTATTACAGGGATTGAACTTACGACCTTGCACTTGCCAGGCAGCGCTTGTGCCGCTGAGCTAAACCCCCGGCCCCTCTAATTTTATTAAACATTGCCAAACTGCTCTCCAATACCAATTCATCTTCCAATCAAGAGGGTACAAAAGATGTAATTTCTCCCACACCTTTGCCAATTCTTGGATCATCGGGTTCTTAAAGATTGGTCAGTTTGCCTCAGGAAGCTAAGGCAGAAGGATCAAGAGTTTGAAAGCAACATGGGCTACCCAGAGAGCACAAGATGGATTTGTACTATACAGAGGGAACCTGATTGAAAACACCAAACAACGACAAACAAAAACCAGTGATCCAATGGGGTTTTTCTTTGGTTATTTGGTTTGGTTTCGTTTCTTTGCTGGAGATCAAACCCTATCTCCCAACCACCAATTTATCCTTCCTAACAGTGTCTGTGATACACTTGCGCTGCGTGGAAGCTGGTTGTGATAGATGCCCCCAAATTCCCTTTCCTCTTGCAGTTATTTCTCTCTCCAGCAGGGGGCTGACC